TTAATTTGTTTTCCCTAAACAGTGTAAAATTTTGGGAAAAAAATTTCACGAACATTAATTGTCTCGCACAACGAGTCTGTGTGCAAAATGTCAGCTCGATTGGGTCACGGGAAGTGGGTTAAAAAACGACCGAAAGGTTTGCACGGTCGAAAGCAAGCAAGCACGCAAGCAAGCGAACTTAATATAAAGGATTTAAAAAGAGATGGCTTAGAGGTACAGAAAGAAATGTTGTAATACATTTAATTTGATACATTTCTTGAAAATGTATTCTGCATCTGAGTGTCCAGCAGGTGGCAAGAGACGACCAGCCGATTGTAAGCAGGGGGGGGGGGGCAGGGCTCACGTTCATGCTTTGACCTATTTACAGCCTTCTACTTGCTGGTGAGCATCATTGTACGGTGGGGACACGTCTATCGTATCGACGGCGGGATAATCACACATCAGCACCCTATTGCTGGGCTGCACGTATGTACGTTGAACATTTACACTATGAGATCTCTTTTACCAGTGGCAAAATATAATAGTAGGTTTTTACCCTTTTAAACTGGTACAAAACTGACACCTTTATTCAAGGCATCACGTTTGCAATAACCACAACACAAGCAGTCAAAAAAGCAAACAAAAAGATGCAACTCTGATAATGATAGGAAAGTGCATATTATTATATTATTATCATTATCAGAGTTGCATCTTTTTGTTTGCTTTTTTGACTACTTGTGTTGTGGTTATTGCAAACATGATGCCTTGAATAAAGGTGTCAGTTTTGTACCAGTTTAAAAGGGTAAAAACCTACTATTATACGTTGAACCTCTTCTGCACCGTACGTAGCCAACCGTGCTAATCGGAGGTGCGGTGGAAGGACAAGAGGGGTTGGCTTTCATACGGTGCGAAAAAAGTTCAACATATTTGCAATCCATCGGCAACGACAGACTTGCCAACAGCGGATCCATGCACACACGGTGTATTATTTGTATAGCGATTTACCAATCGCGGCCTGGAAATGTGAGTATCCACACGGGTAAGAACGGGGTCCGCAACACGCACTAACAAGTATGATGACTATTATTGGTTCTTTCGGTAATGTCACGTAGAAGGGAAACAATAAAATAATAAAAATATAAAACAATACAATTCTCACGACGTTTCGACTGCAACACAAGCAATCATCGAGAACATTTTCTTGCTGTGGATTTCACACCTGATGATGATTGCTTGTGTTGCAGTCGAAACGTCGTGAGAATTGTATTGTTTTATATTTTATTATTTTATTGTTTCCCTTCTACGTGACTTTACCGAAAGAACCAAGAATATGAATCCCTGCAGTCACGAAAGCTTTACATCAAAAGTATGATAAACTCAAAATAGGTTGACCCTTTCCGTCACTAAAACAGCTGTGTTAAGATGCTCAAACACCAAGGGGCCGTCCATAAATGACGTCACGCGATTTTGGACGATTTTTGACCCCCCCCCCTCCGTCGTCATACGGCGTCACAAAAAGGTCAGACCCCCCCCCTCAAATATGACGTCACAAAGCTCTGCCCCCCCCCCCCCACCAAAAAAAATAAAACATGCTTCAAATCGTTTAAACGATTGTCATTGTCGTGCGTATTTAATGTGGCGCTGCACTCTGATGTTGTAGGAGAAAACATTTATTAAAAAGTCTATTTAATTAAGTAGAACGTCTTCTTGGTTCTTTCGGTAAAGTCACGTAGAAGGGAAGTAATAAAATAATAAAAATTAAACATAATAAAAATTAAACATAATAAAATTTTATTTTTATTATTTTATTACTTCCCTTCTACGTGACTTTACCGAAAGAACCAAGAAGATGAATCCCTGCAGTCACGAAAGCTTTAAATCGAAATTTAAGTAGAACGTGTTGTCTATATTTATTTAAAGTTGCGCATTTTGATGTGACGTCACATTTCTCACCCCCCCCCCCCCTCGTCACACATCGTCACAAATGTCTGACCACCCCCCCCCCCCCAGGTGCGTGACGTCATTTATGGACGGCCCCCAAACAGAAACCTTTTTGCAAAGGAATCAAACTCCGCTTTTACAAACGTCGCTGGGCCGCGTTTCTCCTCGGCGCCACAGCGCCACCCGTGGTGACCACCTCGTGGCGCTGCGTATCTCAGCAGCCGTCCGTCTCTTCGTTGTTGCGGACCACTGGCATACTCTTAGTTCTTTCGGTAAAGTCACGTAGGTAAAAAATGAAATTTAAATTAATACAAAATAAAAACAATAAAATCACGACGTTTCGGAGGCAACACAAGCTTCCGTCTTCAGGTGAAACTGTCACAGCAAAAATTCTGTATCAAGTGAATTTTTTGTTGTGACAGTTTCACCTGAAGACGGAAGCTTGTGTTGCCTCCGAAACGTCGTGATTTTATTGTTTTTATTTTTTATTAATTTTAATTTCATTTTTTACCTACGTGACTTTACCGAAAGAACTAAGAGTATGAATCCTTGCAGTCACGAAAGCTTCACATCTAGAGCACTGGCATCTTCATTCTCGCAGTCGCATCAAGTCGCAACCGCATTCACATTAACCCGTTCCCGTTCCGAGACGTCGGCGATTTGCAGTGTGGGTGGTGTCTCCTTCACCGCTGAATCTCAGCGCGCGTAAGCGGTTCAGCGTTGATTTTATGTAGAGAAGGCGTAATGCCGTTGTTGTTTTTTTTTAAAGACGTCGTAACTCACCGCAGAGAACCGTAGCGATACGACTGCTCTCTACGACAGCTGGCGCCAAACTGTGCCACATGCCCTCCCGCATGGCCTTGTGGGAGCCTCGGTAAAACTTCTGACTTTTGGAACCTCATTTGCCAGTAAAAAATATGATAATTGTTTTTTTACCCTTCTATCTGGCAACAAAACTGACACCTTTTTTACAAGGAGTCATGTTTGCATAGACCACAATACCTGCAGCCATAATGCAAACAAAAAACATAACTCTGATAACAGTGTATATATTATCAGAGTTATGTTTTTTGTTTGCATTATGACTGCAGGTATTGTGGTCTATGCAAACATGACTCCTTGTAAAAAAAGGTGTCAGTTTTGTTGCCAGATAGAAGGGTAAAAAACAATTATCGTCTTCTGACTTTATCGGTACGTAAAGTCAATTTATTTCGTTTTTCTTCCAATTACATTCCGATGACGTACATGCACGCCTGCCCACTCATGTCTATGATGACCGAGGGGGAGGATGGGCTAAGCCCCTCCTACTTCTAACCAACCCTTCCCCCATCTCATTATCATCGTCGTTTATACAAAAGGTATGCAAAGTCAATATCATTTTTATTTGATATATTGTTATTGTGTAATGTACTATATTTTATTGTACTGTATGTTTAGTTAATAAATAGGCAACTTAGTTGACAGACGAGTTTGACCGTGGCTGTAGTTCCCCAAACCCCATATTTCCCACAGGCCCCGAACTTTGCTAACCCCGGATTTGCCTCCCGCGGCCTTTCCCAGGAACCTAATCCCCGCGGTGAGTGAGGGATTGCTGTTGACAGACGGTACGAGGCAGGGGGGGGGGAGGAGGAGTTGGTTCCAGCACAGATAAAACTCTCAACGTGCTCAGAGACGCGTGATTGAAAACTGCCGCCGTGGGGAGCACGAAGATCCACGCGCTCACGAGCGTAAGGCCTCTCATGCGCTGCCCATTGGGAATAACGCCGGTTGCGACGGAGTCCACGTCCATTCTGTTCCCCTATAACGCCGCGTGTTGCTTTCATCACGCGAATTGGATATGACGCGATTGAGCGAACGGAATTGAATTTCGCGAGTAGGAATACGCGGTCGTACGGCAGCCTCGGCGCAGCATCACACAAGGCGGGATGCTGCTGGATGCTTCGAGGTGCTGCCCAGTCTTTGTTCAGCCTGAGTACGCATCTCACGTCTTACCGCTGGACTCTGATTTGCCCTACGTTGTATATTATTTATTATAACCCGATTTTTCCATAACGCGGTGTTCTTCAGGAATGCAACTACCGCGTTCTAGGAGAACAGACTGTATCATGCCACATCGCAGCGCGTGCCACCACACGGTAATCGCTCACTTTAGCGGAGAGGGAACGACTCAGGAGGAGGAACCACAGGCGGAGCGGGAAGGCAGCAGCCACGCAATGAGCCGGCGGGAACAATTGCCCGAGCTCTGCGGACCCCTAGTATATGACGGTGTTGGTGACCAAATTAACGAGTGTTCACATGTCGGTGAGAAACCAGTGCACCCCGAGAAAACCCCCACAGGTGCAAGGGGAGGACACTCTATCCCATGGAGACGGAGCGGCTCGAGTCACCATTGTTGCTGCACTGCCATCTCCTGGCCACGTTGACAGGCGTCATGCAACATCCGTGTGCGGTGATCCACCAACTCTCGCTGCTGCTGCTGCTGCTGCCTCCACAGTGCTGGGTCACAGGCAGCCACGTGCAGCGGCGTAGCCAATGCCACCACCACCACCGCCGCCACCACCACCGCCGCCACCACCGCCACCACCGCCGCCACCACCGCCCCCACCGCCCCCACCGCCCCCACCGCCACCACCTCCACCACCACCACCCCCACTGCCGCCACCGCCGCCACCACAATCTCCACCACCACCTCCACTACCACCACCGCCACCGCCACCACCACCACCACCACCGCCGCCGCCGCCACCGCCGCCACCGCCACCACCTCCACCACCACCACCACCACCACCACCGCCACCAACTCCACCACCAACACCTCCACCACCACCTCCACCGCCACTACCTCCAGCACCACCACCACCTCCACCACCACCTCCACCACCACCACCTCCACCACCACCACCTCCACCACCACCACCACCACCTCCACCACCACCGTCACCACCACCTCCACCACCACCGCCACCACCACCACCGCCACCACCACCGCCACCACCCCATCACCACCACCGCCACCACCGCCGCCGTTGCCGCCTGGCAAGAGCTCTGAGTCGCACGCATTTGGCGCAAGATTCCCTTGAGTCGTCCGGTGGGGGGGGGGGGGACTCTGTCACACTCCCGAGGATTCCTCGCGGGGAAAAAAAAAACCTCGTGCGGCTCTTGGGCGTGGGGCAATGCGATAGGATTCGTGCAAAACCCTCCACTGGCAAGCGACCAGTAAGGGCGGGTGAGGCCTGCGACAGCCGCGCTCCCAACGCCAATGCTGGTCGGTCTCACGTCGACAGCTGCCCGGCACCAGGCCCCCCCCCCCCACTCAGTGGCAGTGCATCAGCCGTGTAAGGGGAGAATGCTCACGGCTGCTACATTTCACGTGTGCTGACTGATATAGTAACCACGTTTACTTACTGACGAACTGTGCACCCTAACAGAGATCGATTACAGCAAAGCACATTTTCGCCGTCGTTCAAGTCGATGTCAAGATAACTTCATGGAATTCTATGTCAACGAAGCATCTTTCAATTCATTCAATTACATATTTTTCTACGTTAAGAATATCAATAACATTAATACATGCTGACCATAACCCTGAAGTTCGAGAGTTATGGTTGGTACTTGTGCAATAGAATATATATTAAAAAAACAACACACCACGCACGATGCCGTGCTGTACTATATACACATCACCGTAACATGCCCGTGCTCGCGTTCCCCACAACGCCGCTCGTGATTGTTCTGCGTCGTGCATCTGAGTCGCGAGTCGGTCCGCGGTGAAAGTCGAGCGGTGACGGAGGTGGCAGATCTCTACGTGCGCTCGCTCACACGTACGCGCGCTCGCTCACACGTACGCGCGCTCGCTCACACGTACGCGCGCTCGCTCACACGTACGCGCGCTCGCTCACACGTACGCGCGCTCGCTCACACGTACGCGCGCTCGCTCACACGTACGCGCGCTCGCTCACACGTACGCGCGCTCGCTCACACGTACGCGCTCTTGGGGTGGTGGAGTCCGCGAACTCCGCTGCTGCTGCTCATGGACGAGCGATCGGAGCCCGGCACGCCGGAGATGCCGGCGCTCCTCCCTGCGGGGCGCGTGCCCCGGGCGGAGCGCGCAGGAGGAGGAGGCCCCTCCACGACGCGCAGCCCCGCCGCGCGCCCGTCGCCGCATGACCTGCGAGCGCACGGCACCGCGGGCGTCAGCGCGCACAGCTTGGAGTTTGCGCGGACGGAAAACCGGCGGATCGCCCTGAATTATCAACGAGTCATTTGCAGCTGCAAGGGCGGCGCCGTGCACAAAACGTCCCCATGCACGCCGTGCACGAAAGAGGAACGGTAGCCAAGCGGCAGAAGAAGAGCCAGAGAGTATGTAATAAAACTAATTCGGATGAACATTTTAAAACTGGTTCGGTTTAAAGGTGGACAGGAGCCACACCACCGCAGCTCTCTGGGACTACCGAGTGGGGGGGGGGGGTCACCAGGGGGAGTTCCACCCCCAGTGGGGGTCACACCACAGTAGACATCCAATCACCCCCCCCCCCCTCCTCGAAGGCATTTGAGATCAAAGTACGCGTAGAAGGGCACAATCGGCAGATCTTAATGAAGGAACCCTGCCAGGATTGAATTGCCTCCTGAATGCACAAAGTGCAACAAGCCCCCACAAAAGCCTTAAATACGAGCCACGTGATCGTGCATTGCACTCGACTAGCCACAGCCAGGAGCCAGTGCAGAGAAGCAAGATCACAGTTCAGTTCATGTCTCAGGTGGAGCCCTGTGAGCCAAACGGCGCAAGTCGAGACTGCCACAGTTCCCCGGGTTCGAGGGCGTTGACTCAGCCGGTCATGCCGTCGTCCAGGAGCCGATTAAAAAACGCGTGCCACTGTGTGGGGGGGGGGGTGACCCGACAGTGGTTGCCCTCCTGTCGACCGACTCAACGCGCCCGCTGAAGGCGAATGCAGGAAATCCCCCGTCCACCGAGGGAGCTCGGAGTCGTGAACAAACGAAACGCGAGCGCTCAACCTCGACCGCTCGTGTTTGAGCGGAGAAGTCGCCGAACGTTGTCGACTCGGGTCAGGCCGCGAGCCCCCTCCAGATCGACGGACAACGCCCCCCCCCAATAGAAGCTTGTGCGCTGGGAGGGGGGGGGGGGCTGGTGACTGCGCGTGATTCTCACTGGAAGACGCGGGGTGTCGCGTGGTAGGGCTGCGCCGCCGATGATTCGCGCTGTTGCCTGCAGGCGGCGCACAGGAGGAGGCCCCCGCCCAGTAGCACGAGGCACGAGCCGGCCCAGCCGACGTAGAGACCAGAGCCGTACTCGTACCTGCGGGACACACAGACGACAGAGATCCAGCCCCACCGCGTGTAGCCAGGGGGCAGGCGCCGTTAGCGAGGAGCACCTACGAAGGGTCGGCACGGCACACGAGGGGGTGGGTGGGTGGCCAGATGCACACCCGGTCGTCTTTGTCTCGCTAGTGGGTACTCATTTGAGGCCGAGTCCACCTATGGGAGGCCCAGGACCGTTTTAGATCATCTTGGCTGGTGTTGGCACTGAGAGGGAATTGAACTCGGGTTACCGCTCCCCACACAGGGACCCACCTCACCACACGTACAGGACGACCACCTTCACCTGCGTATTGTGGCCCACGAAATTTATGGATGTGGAATCTCCGAGGCTGGCTCAGGGATGTGAACGTGAGATGGAGCGCCAACACTCTGCGCGCTAATTTGAGCGGTAAATCACTTTGAATTGTGTTTATTTTTTATATTTTTATTATTTGATTTTTTCCCTTCTACGTGACTTTACCGAAAGAACCAAGAATATGAATCCCTGCAGTCACGAAAGCTTTAAATCAAACACTTTTAATTGTGTTTCTTTTTTAGTAACAAAATCACCTGGTGGATCCTGAGATCACAGGGAAAAGGGCAGGTTAGGAAACCTTCGACTGGCTTGTTGTTGGAGGCTGATTTTTTGTTTACAACGTGGTGAAGCCTTAAACGACAAAGAGGAAAGGCTACGGCTGTCGATGCGTTAATAATGGAACCTCCGTTCGCAAACATTGCGAAGCAAACGCCCAACAAGCAGCAACGTAAGGATAGATTGGTGTACGTGAAGGGAATGTTCCAAACGCTCAGGCCGCTTACCCCAGCAGCCTGCGCGTGCTATACGGGGAGAAGTTTGTCTTGTAACAACAACAATACAAATAATGATTATATTTATATTGCACCTTTCATCAAGGGTCTCATAGGATGCTGCACAAATCCGAGCGGCAGGCACTCAGCTGAACGATAACTCGTGAAACTAAACAATATGACACAGAGCGAGAAAGTGTTCCAGAGGTCGTGGGTTCGATCCAGAGCCCGACGCCTGCTGCTGTATATTTGGACTTTGCCTGTTCCTCCCCGTGGTTGCGTAGATTTTGCTCTGGGTCCTCTGGGTTTCCCCTCCACATTTAGAATCAACATCACGCGTTTAGGGCATTTGGTTGCTGTAAATGTCCACACGCTGATAAGCCACTTCGTTGAGCGATCATCTGTGGCCAGGTCGCATCTGACAAAAGAGCTACACAGCTCCGTGGGCCTTACCTGGTAAAATAAATGTTTTTTTCTTGATTTAAAGCTTTCGTGACTGCAGGGATTCATATTCTTGGTTCTTTCGGTAAAGTCACGTAGAAGGGAAATAATAAAATAATATTATGGTCACTTTTTATGTATTGTTTTATATCAATATTATTTTATTATTTCCCTTCTACGTGACTTTACCGAAATGTTTTGTTGTTGTTTTAAATCCCTTAGTTTGGGGGGGGTCACACGGGGAACAGCTCGGTCGCCCATCGACCGAAGCATCGGCGTGGAGACGCAGGGAATGCATGCGTCCCGAGGTGGCGGAGTCCTTGGGGGGCCACATGTGTCCCAGTGCCGGCAGCAGTAGCAGCGGCGGCAGCGTTTTCGAAAGATGAAGGAGCGTGCAAATTCGCTCACCTGGCTCCGATGAGATATGGGTCGTAGAAGTCGATGGTGAACCGCGTGCGCGTAGTAAGACACGGCCGTGACAGCAGCCGCCCCTGCTCAGGGAGAGGCAAGTGGGGGCGGGGGGGGATGGAAACAATCGTCACGGTAATAATCACGATCACAACGATAAGACCGCGAGTAACCCGAACAGATTTCATCATGCGGGGGCGAATTGACGCACGTTTATGGTTTTACCCAATAAGTTGATCGTTACGCACGAGCCGTTGATTTTCTTTCGCTCCGCATAAAACAATTATATATTGTGGGAGGATCAGGTGTGGCGGTCACGAACTCCAGGATTCAATGTACAACTCCTCCCCCCTTAACTTGTATTTGAGAACTTGTATCTTGGAATGTTTGCCTCACTTGATACAGTAAATCTGGCTGTGACGGTCCCACCTGATGACGGAGACTTGTGTTGCCTCCGAAACGTCGTGATTTATTATTTTATTTCTATTATTACTTTTATTAATTTTAATTTTATTTTTTACCTACGTGACTTTACCGAAAAAACCTTAGAGTATGAATCCTTGCAGTCACGGAAGCTTCAAATCTAGAACTCGTCTAAAGAGCCTCGGCACCATACCCGGTCGGGTACGGGTAGCCGGGTATCGGGTAGGGTACGGGTATCGGGTACCCGATTGCGACCTCTGGTAGCCGAGCCCCGAGAGGGAGCGGGGCTGTTCAACCCGGGAAAGAAGTCGTCTTCTCTGATCATCGCTCTTCAGTCTCCGTATAGGGAATCCGATCAAGTGGTAAGGGGCCGTCCATAAATGACGTCACGCGATTTTGGACTATTTTTGACTACCCCCCCCCTCGTCATACGGCGTCACAAAAAGTCAGACCCCCCCCCCCCCTCAAATATGACGTCACAAAGCTCTGCCCCCCCCCCCCCAAATAAAACATGCTTCAAATCGCTTTAAACTATTGTCATTGTAGTGCGTGTTTAATGTGGCGCTGCACTCTGATGTTGTAGGAGAAAACATTTATTAAAAAGTCTATTTAATTAAGTAGAACGTGTAGTCTATAGCTATTTAAAGTTGCGCATTTTGATGTGACGTCACATTTCTCAAACCCCTCCCCCCTCGTCACACATCGTCACAAATGTCTGCCCCCCCTCCCCCCCTAGGTGCGTGACGTCATTTATGGACGTCCCCTTAGGTGGTGAGGAACGGTGGCCACCGCCTTACGTAGTTAACCTGTAATGTGCATCGTCGCTCGGAATGTACATAGTTAACCGTGGAACGTTGAATAGCGTTGGTTGTGTTAGATAATTAAAAGTGTTGCCACCCAGTCTTGGCGTGGGCCTGATTCGACCCCACTACAAATGTGAGCGAAGCAAAGGTCGCGTGCGCAGCCATTGCGCTAGATGTTTAGAAGATTTCACGGAATCCCAGCGGAATACGTGGGACAGTCGTTGAAAGCGGACTTGAATCAAAATGATTAAGTAAACAGGCGGAGCAGAGTGGCTTGGAGTGTTTGGCTGGATACCCTTTCCCACGCGCGCGTGTACGCGTGTACGTGCGGTGGTTAGCGTGGTTGTGGGGAGCGGTAGTGGAGTGGTTAGATCGCTGCGCTACGAACGCGGCTACCCGGGTGCAATTCCCGCTCACGACCAACATCAGCCATGAATATTTGAACCGGTCCTGCGCCTCCCGTATGCACATATGTTGAAACGTGCTGACCGCCCACACCCCACGAGTTCCGTGCCGGCCTTAATAGGTGCTCGCCAACAGCTCTTGCCCCAACGGCGTGTTAAAGGCTATACGGGGGAAGCATTTACACTATGAGACCTCCTTTACTAGTGGCAAAATATAGTAATAGGTTTTTACCCTTTCAATTGGAACAAAAACTGACACCTTTATACAAGGCATCATGTTTGCAATAACCACAACACAAGCAGTCAAAATGCAAACAAAAAGAAACAACTCTGATGATGATAATGATATGCACTATCCTTGAAGTTGATTGGTCCACACCCGAGACAGCTTTTCTTAGAGCCTAGTCTCCATTGGTGTTGGACCAGATGACGCCAAAAGGTGTACCAGTTGAAAGGGTAAAAACCTATTACTATGCTATACGGGGGATCTGTGTCTTTGTGCGTGAGTGCGTGCGCGCGAGCGTGCCTGAGAACATGTAGGAAATGCCGCTGAAGAGAGACATGTGCGCCTTGGACTTGGCGGTCAAGGGCCCCACGTGTGTGCACTTCATGCCGAAGAGGGTGCAGAGGGCGGCCAGCCCGCCGATCACCACCGACGAGACCATGAGGCCCTGGCACGCGCGGATGTACACTGCACGGGGGTCGGGGAGGGGTGGGAGGGGGGGGGGAAACAGCGGGTCAGCGGAAATTGATTCGTGCCGAGATCTGGTAACGGTATTGTTGTGTTGAGTTTCATTATGGGATAATGCGCGGTGTTGGTCGACCTCGTCTGACTGAGAAATATGTCTGGGTTCGGTGTACAGGCGAACATCTGGAAACCCTATAGGATTGCCAGTTCGAAGATATTCCCCTTTAGTGCCCAATTATGGCGTGGCTAAGATGCATGGGAGCGACGGAATAAAGTCCCTCTGTGGCCATCTGTGGCCGTGTTTCAAGCGGAAAGTGAAGTCGCGTGCCGGGACCGTTGGCTGTCCACCCTGGCCCACACCGTGACCCCGCGTGCCTACCCACAGTACTCGAGAGAAGTGCTCTCTCTCTCGTCTAATCATCACCGTTGTCACCAAATTTAATGAAGACGGCCTTCAACTTGAGTCCTGCTTTTAGATGGGGGGGGGGGGGTGACTCGGCCCTCCCTCCCTCCAAGCAATGAACACCACTTTGTGAGGAAGTCAACAGTGGGTCGTCTTTGGATAGACTAATCCCCGCCATAGGAATGTGGAGTCTCCACCACTGGCTGAAGGCTATACACAGGAGGTGAGTACCAATGCCTCGATGCGCATGTGAGCAGCAGCAGCAGCAGGATATCATTGGGACCTTTTTCACTTTCATCAGAATCTGAATCTTTGTTTAGCCTGCAGGAGGAATCCGATGAGCTATGAAGCTCTATTTCACAGATGTCCAGTAGGGGTGGGTCAGAAAGTTACAACAACAAACAGTACAAAGACGCGATAGGAGGGCAAAGTATAGGAAAGGTAAGAAAATCACGAAATATAAAAAAAGTATAAAATGCAAAAGTAAATAAATTCCTGCCGATTTAGCAACATCAAATGCAAGCTTGGACAAGGCAGAAAAACAACAACAACAATACCAGACCACAACAAGACAACAACACACAGTAGTCCCTCAATAGAATTACACATTAAGGTTGAACTATCGATACACCGTTCGGGGGTAAGGATCGAAGTTTGAAAACATAAGAATAGGTTTTTACCCTTTCTGGCAATAAAACAAGAGTTGTGTTCAGATGTTCAAACACCAAATAGGAACATTTTGCAAGCAATCAAGTTACTGCATCAACCACATACAGTACTTGTGGTGAACATACAAACACAAACATCCTCTGATAATACCAGTAGCAAAATATAGTAATAGGTTTTTACCCTTTCAACTGGCGTCATCTGGTCCAACACCAATGGAGACTAGGCTCTAAGAAAAGCTGTCTCGGGTGTGGACCAATCAACTTCAAGGACAGTGCATATCATTATCAGAGTCGGTTTGTTTGCATTTTGACTGCTTGTGTTGTGGTTATTGCAAACATGATGCCTTGTATAAAGGTGTCAGTTTTGTGCCAGTTGAAAGGGTACAAACCTATTACTATCCTCTGATAAATTTAGATGGCATTGTTCTTGAAACCGATTGGTGTACAGCAGAGACAGCCTTCTTGATGGCCTCGTCTCACCGGTGGCAGACCAGAGAACGCCAAAAGGCGAACACTACATACTTTGAATCTGGCACAAAAAACACATTCCTGCGGAGGGAGCTGGTAGAGACGTTGGGTTGTTCGGTCAATGGCCAGGGTCAACGGCGGCGTGGTGTATTCCGCAAATATGCCCGACTGTGAGGGCGGGCACAAGCCGGCATGAGTAGGTTAAACGTTGAGTTTTATAAGGGCACCACGGGGTGACCAGCTCCTCCCCACCCAGCCCCACCCCTCCCCACCCTCCCCACCCAACCCCACCCTCCCCACCCTCTCCACCCAGCCCCTCCCCACCCTCCCCACCCAGCCCCTCCCCACCCTCCCCTCCCCACCCAGCCCCACCCTCCCCACCCAGCCCATCCCCACTCAGCCCCTCCCCACTCAGCCCCTCCCTCCCCACCCAGCCCCTCCCCACCCTCCCCACCCAGCCCCTCCCCACCCTCCCCTCCCCACCCAGCCCCACCCTCCCCATCCAGCCCCTCCCCACTCAGCCCCTCCCTCCCCACCCAGCCCCTTCCCACCCTCCCCTCTCCACCTAGCTCCCACTCCTCCCATTTCTGGATGCACGACGGACGGACGGACGGACACAATAATCCCCTGTGGGCTGGTGGAACCAGGAGGCTCCTACCAGTAAAAAGGTCCCATTTGGATCAAAGTCACGAATCACATTTGCGAACGCGCCTGTATCCGACGCTCATCGTCCGCCCGTCCCTCCGTCGGGCGCACTCACCGTCCAGGTCGAGCATGGTGAAGTTGGGCTTGCACTGCATGCTGCCCATCGCGTTGGCCGTGCACTGCTTCCAGAGGCCGTGCGACACCCAGGAGGCCGTCATGAGCGACTTGGCACGGCTCGTGATGCGCCACTCGTTGGACGCCGTGCACACGATGACCCCCACGAGGCCCACGAAGGCCAGCGAGGCCCCGAGCACCTGCATGCCCGTGACGGCCATGAGCTGAGCGACCTTTCCCCCGCCCTCCGGGACGGACGGACGGACGGACGGATGGAGGCAGGGAGGGAGCGGTGGCTAGGGGCAGATCCTCGTTGCTCCCCGACTGGCGCTCACTGACACACGGGGACACAAAGGACAACAGGTGTATCCTCGTGTATGAAAAAATTAACCCGTAAAAACAAAGTTTTTCACTATAAATCCTTTATATGCGTGGCGGCTAGAGTCCTCTCGTCCTCTGGCTTGAGATGGCTGCCACCTATGGGTCAGATGATTGCCTGCCACCATTAAGCAATTGGTAATTAAATATAATTTATTTTTTCCTAAAAAGTGTAACATTTTGGAAAAAAATTGTCACGAAAATAAATTGTCACGCACAACGAGTCTGTGTGCAAAATGTCAGCTCGATTGGATCACGGGAAGTGGGTTAAAAAAACGACCGAAAGATTTGCACGGTCGAAAGCGCGCAAGCAAGCAAGTGAACTTAATATAAAGGATTTAAAAATAAGAATAGGCTTTACCCTCTATGGCAATAAAACCGGAGGTGTTAAGATGTTCAAACACCAAATAGAAACATTTTGCAAGGCATCAAGTCTGCATTAACCACGCAAACTTGTGGTGAACACGCAAACAAAAACATGCTCTGATAATTAATGGATGGCATTGTCCTTGAAAGTGATTGTCCTACACCAGAGACAGCCTTCTTGAGGGCCTAGTCCTGCAAGTGTCAGACGATAAGACGCCTAAAGGCGAACAGCACGAGGAGGTCAATGCACTATCAGGGCATTTATATCTCGGGGCGAGCAGCTACAAGATGGGTCTCCTTTTTGCCAGTATCAAAGTATGAAAAAAAATGAATAGGTTTTACCATTTCTGGCAAAAAAAATTCTCAGATGTATCCTCGTTAAGCCTTGTGCAGACTCCTGAGGGACGTGTTCCTGGTGAGGGAGGGTGGGCATGGGGCATTTCGCCCTGCCACCTTGAGATTCCAAAACTTCCTATTGTAAACGAAACTTTATTTTTATTTTACCAGGTAAGGCCCACTGAGCTATACAGTAAACCCTCGTTATTCGCGAGTTCTGGATTCGCGAGTTACTCAATGTCTACCAATTCCTTTTTCGCGACCTGCTGGACTCCAGTATTCGCGAGTGTAAGTAGCGCCAGACCACCGACAAGTACTTGATACGTACTGTAGTTTATATGTACTGTACTTTACAGGACTCTACTTGCTTGTTAATTGCCCTTAATCATGGCTCCCAAGCATCCACTGAGAGAGGAGAGTGCTTCTGCCCTTTCCTCTCTCATTCCATCTTCCAAGAAGTCATCCTCCTGAATCCGTACTGAATTCCTCACCATCACCACCACCTCCATCGTTGTCAAATCATGATCATCAAAGGTAATTAAAACACACATTCTTCTTAATAACTCATTGTAGTCATTGTTACGAGAAAAAAAATCCATGTCCACTCATACCAGGACCTTAATCCCATTATTCCCGTTGAACAAAGTTTCTGCATCCAACGAAGTGGCTTATCATGTCGACATTTTTGCAGCCAAATACTCGAAAAGCATGTTTTTAAATATAGAGGGAAAACTCGGGAGAAGCCGGAGAAAAATCCGCACGACCACGGGGAGAGAGACTCGGAAACTCCACATTTATAGACATCAGGGTCTGGATCAAACCCACGACCTCCTGCATACCGGGCGAGGTAGTTGACATCTCCTAGCCACCGTGGCGCCCCATTGATATTGTATTGATATTCACCAGAGAAGATACGTTATTGACAAGCAGATAAACCGCTCGGAGTAGTGGAGCGGAGCCAGGGTGGCGAGTGCTTATCCGTTGACTGTGCCGCTGAAATTTCAGAGGTACAAGTTTAGGCAGCAATTGCAATGACTGTAATCTCTCCGTCATCTCTCTTTGCGGTAATGTGGATAATTGTATACCGACGATTAAAGAAAACAAAACGTGTTTTACTCAACTCCCGGTGGCCACGGCGAATCGCGTGACTCAGCCCTGCCGCAAACAACAACAACAACCGCTCAGCACCACATCTCGGGCCGTGCCCTCGTCCAGAGTGACCGACGCAATCCGGATGGCTCGGCCGGCCCGCTCTGTGCGTGAAGGGACTCGCGCCCCGGTCTCGCGAATTGTCGCCTGGTTGAAGGAGAAAAGAACAACTTTAAATCGACGATGGACACTTCTTCTCTTTCGTGCGGCAATGCTCAGGAGCTCGATGCCAATGCCGAGGTCTGCTGCTGGTCATGGACGAGAGGGCTTCAGCAGAGAGAGAGAGAGAGTTCGTGTCGTTGTTTTTTTATTACACGCTTTTATCTTCTTGATTCTTTCGGTAAAGTCACGTAGAAGGAAAATAATAAAATAATAAAAATAAAACATAATAAAATAATTCTCACGACGTTTCGGAGGCAACACAAGTCTCTGTCATCAGGTGGAGACTTGTGTTGCCTCCGAAACGTCGTGAGAATAATTTTATTTTATTATTTTCCTTCTACGTGACTTTACCGAAATAACCAAGAAGATGAATCCCTGCAGTCACGAAAGCTTTAAATCTTGTAACTCAATTTTAACCCACTTCCCAATGTGGTATCGACTGCAAACTTCGTATACTTATGTCATACTGATGACAATACTATATTCTATCATTAAAAATAAAACAAAATTAAGCCATCTCTTTTATATGTTATGTTTCGCCTTGGGTCTAATTGTCCACCCTCAACTGACGTTGGCTGTAAATCACCACGGCCCCACACGTTATGGCAAGCTTCGGGGCCACTTCCTGGAGTCGTGGAGTTCTGCCATTACGAGTTCGGTACATTTCTTTAAAGCGTGTTTAAAAAAAAGTATTCTTAAATATTACATACTACTGTTCCTCCTCCTCCTCCGTAGAAGGAGCACAGGCCACAGTGGTTTACTATGTGGGTCCATAGTCTTTGGTTGCATGGCCACGATCACACGACCATGGCTTTAATCAATCAATCTTTATTCTGTGTGCCAATGTCGCCCTCGATAGAGTAGCCATCAGTGCACGCTGCCGCAGAACGGGAACGGTACCGGGGGGGGGGGGTGGCGCAGAGAGACAGGAACGAGAAGAGGAACCCGTCACGACCTCAGCGGCGAACACCGACTGAGACGGAGAAGATTGCAACCCACGTGCAAAATAAATTGCAGCCGTGCGCAACGAACAGCACGAGAAAGTTAAGCGGTGAATACAAGTACAAAAATTAACGGTAACGAGACAGCTTTTATTTTAAATGTTCGATGTTGTGGCAAGGGGAATTTGAGTCGGTGCATCTTGGAGGAAAGCAGTCCGTCTGTGTCGAGCCCCTGGGGAAGGTAGCGAGGAATGGAGAGCCTCGGGCTGTCAGTTGCCGTCGTGCCCAGAAGCGCGCTTCATTGTGCACGAGCGAGCTAACGGGAGCGGTTGGGGTGAAGCGGTGGGTGGTAGAGGGGGGAGGTGGGGGGCGAGCCGTGGGGGGTGGAACGGTGGGGGGGGGGGGGGCGGGAAGGGTGGGGGGCAGTGGGAAGGTGGCGGCGCTAATTAATTGCAGATGCTGAGGACAGGCACCTGTAAGCACGGTGTGGTTCTTCTTGTGTGGTGTTACATTTTGCGTTGTATTACTTCATTTCAAAGTGACACTTTGCATTTCTCACGTTACAAAAAGTTGTTCAAGAGTGGGAAATGTTGGGGCCCGGAACGTAACCCGGCCTTTAACGTGGCAGTCAGCAGGAAAGCGACGATCGTTTAACGAATTTTCGCTTAACGAGCAATTTTCGCTGGAAGGTATCTCACTCGTTCAGCGAGACGCACCTTACACGAATCGCGTGTCCTGACTTATGGGCCACCCTGTGCTCTCTCGGTCAGGACGAGGCCCATCATCGACACTGTGCCAGCTTACGGGAATCAAGTTCGACACAGCAATGCCGCTCACGGATCTCGAAACAAATTAATTCCTGGTTCCACCCAAACGCCAATTCCTGGGCCCTCCCGCATCAGTGACCCGGAGCGTCCCGGAATTTACATCCGGAAACCCGGACAGGTGGCAACCGTCGTGGTGTGTCGGGAGGTGCGATAACCCTTAGTGCTGGATACAGTCACGTTTGCAAATGTGATTTGTAACTTTGATCATTAATGACCTGTGTCGTATCGATAGTTCAATGGCAATGTGCCATTTGTATGGAGGGACTACTGCTGCGTTGCGTTCTCTTGCCGAGGGCTGGGACTGTGTTGTTGTTGTTTTGCTCCCTTGGCCAATCTTGATTCGTAGGACTTGTGTAAATCATTTTTTATTATTCACATTTCGTGACTTGCTTCCCATTTTCCACATGTTGCACTCCCGTCGTGTTTGTTGTATTGTTTGCTGGTTGTAACTCGCCACTGGACACCTGTGAAAAAGAGCTTCATAGCTCATCGGATTCCACCTGCAGTCGAAATAAAGATTCTGAACCCTGGGGGCGCGCCATCACTTGGCCACGCGGTGCAGGAGGCCCTGCAGCAGGAGGCCCTGTAGTGCAGGAGGCCCTGCAGCAGGAGGCCCTGCAGCAGGAGGCGCTGCAGCAGGAGGCCCTGTAGTGCAGGAGGCCCTGTAGTGCAGGAGGCCCTGTAGTGCAGGAGGCCCTGTAGTGCAGGAGGCCCTGCAGCAGGAGGCCCTGCAGCAGGAGGCCCTGCAGCAGGAGGCCCTGCCGCACTACGATCGCTCCGCGAGGGGGCGTCAAACAGCAGGCGCAGCGTGTTAGTGGCAGACCCCGTGAGCCGCCGAGCTTGCGTGTGACTGGCTGGGGTCGTCGTCACCAAGACACCGCTGGGGCCGTGTCCAATGGAAGAGTTCCTCCAGGTGGCACCGCGATCCGTCGCCCCCAGCCAGGACTCCTGCTGCTGCTGCTGCTGCTGGATAGGCACGGTCCGGCATCATCGAGCGAGACGACATTCCGTGATCAGCACCAGGTTCAGTGTGGGGTGTCCCTCGTGAGCCCACGCGCGGTCGCGGTTCGTTCTGGATCTGTCGCCGACGCTCGGCCGCAGGGCGAGGCGAGGCCGGACGTCTGTCTGGTCGTCTGCTCGTTCAAGACGGAGCTGCGTGCCCGAACTAGGCCGAG